TAAATAACTGATTTTCCTGTTTTAGCATCAGTTTTATAAGAACTCATGATAACATGAGCTTTATCTTGAAAAAAAGAATCAAATTGTTTTTTTGTTTAGGAGTAATTCTTTTGATTTTTCTAACAGGTTTATCTATTAATACACGGCCAAGACCATTGATTCTTACGTATTTTCTTGCTTCAAGAATTGAACCTTATGCAACCTATTTAAAATATGAAGGCATATATTATTCAATATATTTCAGAATCTTTTTTTGATTAGTTTTTCATACTTACTTTTAATTTTTCCATTAAAACACTATAAGAAAAATTTTCTGTTATAATAGAAAGAATTCTTCTTTTCCTATCATGACCTTTTTTATTAGCTTCTAATGCTCGATGAAAATAGCTCCAAAAAGTATCACCGTCATTGCAATATTTGCCAGGAAATGGATGCAAAAATCCTGACACATATAAAAAATATAAAATTTCACGGTCACATATTGGATCATTGGATTTTGTTCAAAATTTATACTAACAAAATTTATGGCGTAAGTAATAATTTACTATAATTTTTTTTTATAAATTCAATTTTTCAAAAATTATTTACCGGTGATATTTCTTTTGCATAAGGTGTAATATTTACACATCCAACGTGACTTAGCATTGCTCGCTATGCTCTTATTTCTCTTTCTTTGAATATATGATCAGGCAGATAAATTTCTTTTAAAGGGGTGGTAATTTCAATGACAGTTGTTGTTTCATTGTACCATTTAATAAAAAACTCATTCCATTGAATAGAAGCTAATGTAAATTTTCACAAGTGATAATTCCATAAGGCTTGCATTTTATTAATAATATGCCATTCTTCAGACTGATATCTAGGTATAAGTAGTATTTGAATAAATGTCTGAATTTGAGGATGACTGATTCCAAATAAATCAATGCCTTTATGCTCTTGTAATACGCTAACTTTTTACCATACATCATTAGTACTATTCCCAATATGCATAAATTACAACTTATAATCTTGATACATTTTTATCGTTGAATTTTCTTTATTTATCTCTTGTGTAAACAAAGTTCTTTTTTTATTTTAGCCAATTGAATACACAAAAGAAGACTTAAATTCTGAACCTGCATAATACAATTGTTCTTCAGAAAAAACACCAATTCCATATACAAATAGCCAAAACTTTCTAATAAAACAAACAAATAGGCGAAAAGTAACTCCCTTCAAAAGTTGTTCACTAATTTCTATTTTATCATGGCCCATAATAAGAGGACCAGAAAATTTGCTATTATTCTTAAAAAGCCGTTGATAAAGTGTAGTTACAGCAGCTGAAGAATTATTAAAAATAGCACTTGTTAGATCTTCTGCTTCACAAATGTATCTCAGCTGTTACAAAGAATCAGAATAATCTTTGACAACAGTAATAATAAATTGTGTATTTCGAAGAAGTACTAACGTATTCATGTTTATTCGAATGGGATATAAGCCAGTTGTATTACTCGTGCATCGCGTTTCTCACTAATCCTGAGAAAATAGTTCATAATGTAAATTTTCATCTAAAAAATCAGGATAAACTAAACTAACTTGATATTCTTTACGTTTTGCCATTATTTAACGTGTATTTAATTGATAATTTTGGGTTTGGTATCTAAGAAGTGTGAGATTCTCAAATATCTTAAAATGAATAATAGTTATTATCACCACTAAATCATATGAATGATCGACATTTTTTTGCAGTTGACTCACATATCACGAATTAATAGTATATTTTAAAGATATATTTAATATTATTAGATAATAAAATATTTTAATATACAAAATAATCAAAAATAAGTTTATGATAATTATAGAAATTTACTTTAAATTTATATAAATTTCATAAAAATAAATAACATATTTTATAAATTTAAAATTAAGTTAGTTAATTTAATAATAAAATATAAATTATAAAGTTATCTATAAAATTATCTTAAAATATTAAATATTAAAAATATTAAATAAAATATTTTTAATTTTTTAATAATTTATTTAAAAATAACAAAGTTTTTGTACTTTAGTTTTTATAAAAAAACTTATTATATTTATTAGTAATATAAATAAACTTTAATTATATAGACACTTTGTAATAAAAAGAGAAAAAACTATTAAAAAATTTTTTTGAGTAAATAATAAATCTGAATTTATTTTACTAAAAAAATTAATATTTAGCTTATAAAATAAAAAATTTTTTTAGTAGTTTCCTTCTCTTCTATTATGAAATGTTTATATTATTATTATTAAAATCATTACAGTCAACTCTTGATATAGCGAACTCTTAATATAACGAATTTTTTAAACAAATATAATAAAAATACTCTTGTTATAGTGAATTGGCCAATCAAATCT